CCCCGCCAATGAGCGCCGCCGCCGTCACGGTGTCGCGTCACGGGGGCGGCCGCCAAGATGGCGAAGGTGTCGGAGATGTACGACGTGACTTGGGAAGGTAACGCCGCTGCCCCCACCGGCCGACTGGCCGGCCCCCGGGCACAGGGCGGCGGGGCGGGCCCGGGGCGGGCCGGCGGCGGTACCCAGGCGGGCCCGGGGGGCGGCTGGGGCGAGGGGGCCGGGTGGCCGGGCCGAGCCGAGCCGGGCCGAGCCGGGCCGTGTTGCCCGAGGAGCGGGGTTGGCGAGCCGCAGGTACCCCCGGCTGGTCGCCGCCCGGAGAGGGCCCGGTGCCCGCCCGAGGCTGCCTGCCCGGGATGCCCTCCTCAGGCGCCGGTGCAGGCCGGGGCCCTCCCGCCGGTGCCTCCCCGCTGTGGGTAAGGGCCCCCCTTCCCCACACAGGCCAGCCTTTGGGGTGCTTCCCGCCGCCTCCCCGTGCCCCCGGGCTGGGGGTGCAGCCCTCACGGGGAAATACGGGCCCTTGGCTGGGGCTGCGGGTCCTGGCCCTGTCTGCCTCTTGGAACGCCTGAAAATCGCCGGTGTTATCCCAAAACTCGGTGATAAGCGTTGGCAGAGGAACTCCCGGAAGCTCTGAAGTGACTCGCAAGTTTTTGAAAATCCTGCTCCCTGGGTCTTTGCAGCTGTTAGGATTTTGAGAAACCCGTAAGGATTTGTTGTTGTTCAGGCAATTATTCAGTCACCCGGTGACCCTGCCCCAGCAGGGAAGGGGCATCAGGGAAAACGGGGAAACAGGAGGATAGAAATATAAATAGATTTAATAGGATAAGACCAAATAATTAGCAATAATACTGAAGAACCAGTGTTAATCCTGATACCAATATAAAAAAACACAGGGATTATATTCCACCAGTTCTATCAGCAGGAGGCTGTGTACTCCTGGCAGCAGACAGCAAATGCTGGACACTGCGAGCCCTACAGCTTTGGGAGGAAGGGAAGAGCTCCAGGGTCCGGCACCAGGGCAAGAGCAGGAAGGCTCTGTTGAGGTACTGGAAAGGTCTCCATGGAGCCTTCTCTTCTCCAGGATGAACAAGCCCAGCCCGGCTCCAGTCCTCTGATCATCTTCATGGCCCTCCTCTGGACTCGCTCCAACAGGTCCATGACCTTATGTTGGGGACTCCAGAGCTGGACACGGTACTGCAGGTGGGGTCTCATGAGGGTGGAGTATAGAGGCAGAATTGCCTCCCTCACCCTGCTGGCCACGCTTTTGATGCAGCCCAGGATACAGTTGGGCTACCAGCACACATTGCTGGCTCATGTTGAGCCTCTTATCAACCAACACCCCCAAGTCCTTTTCCTCATCTCATGAGGGTGGAGTATAGAGGCAGAATTGCCTCCCTCACCCTGCTGGCCACGCTTTTGATGCAGCCCAGGATACAGTTGGGCTACCAGCACACATTGCTGGCTCATGTTGAGCCTCTTATCAACCAACACCCCCAAGTCCTTTTCCTCAGGACTGCTCTCAGTCCATTCTCTGCTCAGCCTGTACTTGTGCTTGGGTTTGCCCCAACCCAGGTGTGGAACCTTGCACTTGGCTTTGTTGAACTTCATGAGGTTTGCACAGGCCCACACCTCAAAAACCTCCATGTTCTATTTCCAAGAGTTTTGACGGACATTTGTGGCATTGTGCTAAGTGCATAATTTTGCATATGGATATGCTGAATAGGAGATTTTTGGGGACTAGATGGGGAATTTTGTCATATGAACTTCTAAGTTGTTCTCTTCCGGTTTACATCCAAGTGAAAGACTTGGAGTGTTTGGGAAAACCTTGAAGATGTGCCTTGATACAGGCACCAGTCCGCGCTTTTGAAGCGCGCATTTGAAAAATTACATATATTTTTTCCTCTATTGTAAGAGATGCAAAGTAAAGCAAAAATGAACATCCCTGCAACAGACTGCACAAAGGCTCTTCCCTTTACTCCATGTGTACTTTAACAGATCCCTGGTGTAATTGGGCTTTTCATGAGTGGAGTGGTCCCAGCAGCATTGTGACCTAGTCCCTAGCAAAGAACTTGAACACAGCTTATCTTGAATTTCTCTAAAATGCTTAATTTCTGTGAAACCAGGTGTGTGGTTGGTATTAATCTGAAAAATGTCCTTTATGTACTCGGTCCTTTCTAAACAAGATGGTTTTTGCTTATGTGTTGCTCAAAGATGAAACTGTGATTGGAGGTTAAGGAAAAAGAATAACATGGGGCAGGTGAAATACAGTTTATACCTTGCTTTGTTTTTCACTCAGGTTCTTTGGGACAAAGGTGGGAGTTTAACAATGATTGAATTTTACGTTAGGTAAATGCATTGCACAGGTGGTTAGGAAAGGTAACTGAAAAGAACTGATTTCCACTGTTGGAGATGTTGTCTTTGTTTTTTTCTTTATTTACTTTGTCTGAAGCTGTGTCTTGAGCTTTAAAGTATATATATATATAAAGAAGAACAATGTACAAATGGGGTCTCAGTCTCTTCTCCCAAATAACAAGCGATAGGATGAGAGGAAACAGCCTCGGGTTGTGCCAGAGGAGCTCTAGGATGGATATTAGGGAAAATTTCTTCACCGAAAGGGTTATCAAACATTGGAACAGGCTGCTCAGAGTGGTTGAGTCACCATCCCTAGAGGTATTTGAAAGACAAATAGACGTGGTGCTTAGGGACATGGTTTAGTGGTGGTTTTGGCCATGTTAGGTTAATGGTTGAACTGGATGATCTTAAAGTTCCCTTCCAACCTAGACCATTTTGTGAAATGAAATATAATGCTTATGGGGTCCTTGAATGACTGCTGATGGTAGCAGTTGTTATATGGCAAGGTAACATTTTGGAGTACACAGTGGATGTCTCTACTAATAGGAGTAACTTCTTTCATTTCATCAGGTGCTTTTAGATATCGACGACTGGAAAACTATGATCCAACTAAACAATCGAAGTCTAAGTAATTATAAGAGGATCACTTTATATCTGGTTGCTCAGACCAAATTAACTGACTCCTCAACAGACGCTAAAATACAACATGGATTATTTCTTTTGGCTTCCTGTAGAATACTTGCAAGTTTTTAGGGAATAACAAACATTGTGGCAAGTGCGTCCGTTCCTTTGAACTTGTAATGTTTTGATTTATATGTGCGAAGCTTGCTAATTTAAGAGAATCTAAGACTAAACCAAATGTATCAGTTCCTCAGGATCAGCCTATAGAGGTGGCAGGAGTGATTGAATTTAAACGAGACATTTCTTTAACTTCTTTTTTTTTTTTCTATAATCCCCGATAACTACTGGCCAGACTTGCAGTATGTGCTGTCTGTAGATTTGCCTCCAAGACTTAAGTTATTATTGACTCCTGAGCTTTCGTAGTAAAAAACTCAGTAAGTTTGATGAAGTTGTAAAAAGCCTTGTGTAAGTTTTACTGCAATTTTCATCATTTTCTTTCTTCTGCCTTTTACTTAAAAGTCAGTATTTCTGAAACTAACGAGCCACTTGATAGATTCACGTGAATGAGAACGTTTATTTTTACTTTGTTTTTCGGTCATCAGGTGATTTGCTCTTCTCTGTCCTGCAGTTGTTTTTCCATCACTGTAAGGCACTACTTGGGTGATGAATGGTACAAGTGCGTTCTGTTATACATAATTCAGACACTATTCCATTTGGAATCACACTGGAATGGAGGCATTGATAATTTCCAAGTAAATGAGTAGGTAGAAATCAGACAGCTTATTTATTTTTATGGGTTTAGCTTGTCAGCTTTCGCGAATGTTTGTGTTCTCTCACATTCTTGCTGTCTAACTTTGAATTTCCAGGGACCATCATGTGTCTAGAACCATTTGACTTTACCCATGCGTATGAAACGTAACCCTGTAGTGGTTTTGGTTGAATTTCAAAATACAAAATGTAGCACAATAGCAGTCTTATGAGCTAACCAAGATCGCTTCAGGTAGATAGAGGAAAGTTCAGTGCTTAATTTTTACTGTCAGTTATGTTCACTATGCATTTTGAAGTGCAAGAAAAACTGTCAGTATTTAGATCTATCATTGTGCTTGTTTTCCAGCTGTTGTAAAGTTTAGAAAAATACTGGCAGCAGTATTTACCTGATACCAGTAAAGCTGTTATCTATTAATGAAAACTATTTTCCATAAGGTTAATAAAAAATCTGTTCTTGTATATGGAACATCTAGATATCTAGATAAATGTATATGTGTATATAAAATCACGTTCTTAACAATTTCCTGATCCAGAGAATAAATAAAACCTAGGTTGGGTAGTGCTCTCCAGCTGACTTCATGAGTATGCCTGCTCTCTTGGAGATCTGATCCATACTAAATGTACTCTTGAAACAAAAATCCTAGATTTTTAGATTTGTTGTTCTCTAAACCTATTCTTCGTACGCGTATTTTCCAGAAATAAAATTCAAATTCCACTACTGTCTGGAAATCTCAATATTTTATTTTTATTTTTTTCTCCCCTTTGCTCCCAGATATGCGTGATAAAATGAGGAAATGGAGGGAAGAAAACTACCGAAACAGTGAACAGATAGTGGATGTTGGAGAAGAGTTAATTAATGAATACGCATCTAAACTAGGAGATGACAGTAAGTAAACAGTCATTATTTTTTAAACTTCCATTATCTGATTTTGTTTTCTCTTTTCAGCCTCTATTTTATACTTCTGTGTTGTGTTTCTGTATCCACTGATGTTGATGAAGTATATATTAGTCTAATAGGCTGCCAGAATTCCTAGATTTTGTTTCTTTCACAAATATGGGCTACAGTGGAAAAATTACTTGCTAAAACTCTTACTTTGCTGGATCAGTAGTTAGACCACATGTTAGAAACTGAGCTTGCAACTGTTCCCTAGCTTATATTTGACTGATTTTCTATTCTTCAGCACCATGGCAAAAATTGAAAAATAGCTTTTTGTAACAGCTAAAGCTATTCCTTAATCAGGTCACACATACTGCAGGAATTTATCTTAAGACTGTTTCTATTATGGCATTACATGTGTGACATTATAGTTGAAGGTATTTCTAAGTTTCCACTATTCATTAAATCATTATTTTCAGGGCATTTTAACTATCTGATACTAATTTCAGTGGGCAGAAGCTCGTTTGCTTGCTTTCTTCCCATTGTTGAGTTTGTCCTTCTTTTAAAGATTTATGTATTTTATTCTTTCATAAACATGGCACTTGGGTTTCATTAGATAAATTAGTTGAAACATTCCTGAGCTTCTTAGCAAGTGTGTAGAAGTATCTGAAATTTATTTACACATTTGCACTCTGCTTAATTTCTTTTTTAAAGAAAAGTATTATCAGAATTGCAACTGTATACAGTTTTAAAACCAACCAAACAAAAAACAACAACCAAAAAAACACGTACTGTAGACTTAGAATTCTTTCTTGGGTAGCGACAGAAGGTGAGTTGTATATGACGGGTGTTGGTCTTGTTGCTTCATGTGTTTTCAGAAAGCACCTGAATATTGCAATGTCTAATTTCAGAATGCATATAGAAGGGAACGTATTGAATGCAATGGGGTAGATTATTTGGGTGTCTCTGTAACTTGTCTTCTCAGGCAGAAGACATCCAGTGTAATTGGAGAAAAAAAAAAATCATTATTAATGTTTTTAAAATAAAAATAAATTATTGAATATTCAGTATAAGGTGTGGGGATACTGTTGTCCACATCATAATTTTAATGAAAAGTTGGGATTTTCTTATGGATAAGCAGTAATCCAAAGCTGTAGAGTTGGAGTTCAGAGTAGAGAAATAAGACCTTTGGCATTTTTGGGGGTCTTTTTTTAAGCTTGAACAAGAAAGCCCTTGTACAGATTAGAAAAAGACGTCTGTCTGGGTTGGATACTTGATTCTCTTACAAGTGTTCTCTTACTTAATATCTGACACTAGCCTGTGCTGGAGTTAGAGTATTGAAGTAGAGGTTTGGTCAAATGAGGAGAGCAATTTCATAAACTATAAAAGTATCTTTTTCTTGTATTCAGAATTTTTTAAAAAAACATACTATATAATTTATAGCGGTGATGCATGTTACCTGTATTTTGTCTGTAGCTATATATGTTTTTACATTAATGGAAAAAATGTATATGCTATGTAATTCAAATAGAATATATGTCTTAAAAATAGTTGCAATGGTCAAGAGGGGCTAAGGCAAATTAATGTCTATTTTTCTTCTTTTGTATACTTAGCAAAAAATAGTAATTTCTTTAAAAATAATTGGAAAGTCATACTGTGAAAGTATTTTTAAAAATATGAGGGCCCTTGTTATTTTTATTTTTTTATTATTTTATATTTTTGTTTTGGACGACATTGGCTTCTGTTTCAGTTCTATGAAATATGGGGTGTACCTGATTGCATTTACATGACTTCAAAACACTCTGTACTTCTAACACCTGCTTTGCATGTTTCCCTGTACTATAATCTCTCTTTTCTGCAACTTGTGTAGCTACACTGTTAAATTCTTTTTGTTCAAGACCTCAGTAGGTCTAGAACAGAAATAATGTAATCTGTTATTGATCTAGAGAAATTGTTCAAATCCAGGAAGATGACAGCATTCGCAGGGCTTCAGCAGTGAAACAGTTAAGGGAAATTTGTTTTCTTTCTAGCCCAAATGGCTGTTCTCCAGGTCTGACCAGAGAGCAAGTCCTAATGGGGATCTACTTAGAAGACTGCAGCCATAATCTTAGGGAAAGCAGAGAATTAGAGTTTTTTTTGTCTTTCAAGATGTCAAAAGGTACTTTGTTACTAAAAGCAATAAAAGTACTTAAATGCATTTTTAATTAATTCCAGCAGTTTCTTAAAATGTCCCTGTTTCAGTAGTGATCCATGGGAGTAAAAGGGGAAAAACATGCAGACAGAAATCATTAATCTTATTTACATTGTAGGTGTTTCCCATTATCTTAAAAAATTATCTGTATTTAATGTCTTTTTTGTGTCCAGTTTGGATAATATATGAACAGGTGATGATTGCTGCCCTGGACTGCAGTCGAGATGATTTGGCAATGGTAAGTTTTCAAGTTGACTTTTCCCTCAAACCTTAAGTTTTTTTCCTGGGTGTCTCTTCCAGATAGTTCTTTGGACAGTTACAGGATATTCTGTACTCCATAGCTTGGACTTGCAGAATATCTATCAAGAAACACACTGCTGGGAAGAAACCATCTCCACCCACCTTCTCTAATGTGTGACTTTTGTTTAGACAGATCATGTCTCTTCCAATAGCCATGAAAATATTTACAGCTACTCTGGTATGGGCTAAATGTCAAGAATAATATTGAAGTTGCCAAATTGTACAGAGAGTGTTTGTTTATTGAAAAATTCTCAAATTATATTGGTTTTTTGAATGTTTTGAGGTAAGATGTCCTGTCATGCATATCATATAATATGTCATGTTGGCTACCGTGAAAGAAAGTCATTGACATACTGGAGCAAGTCTTCAAGATGAATAAGGAGCTGGACTGCATAATGTATAAGGAAAGGCTGAGAAATCTGGGTTTAAGTTTTGACAAAGCTAAGAAGGGATTTTATTATTAATTGATATTTGTGTTTAGTCCTTAAGTATGCAAATTTATTTCAATTATACAAATAGCAATCTAGAGAAAATGAGTTTATTTAGAACTGTACCACTGTTCGCTAGATTAAAAATGAAAAAACATCAAAACAAACAAAAAAACCCCCAACAATCTTAGCTAATCCTTTAAAGGCAGCAACTGAAAAAGGCAAAAGTGTGTTTTGCAGGCAAATTTTAAATTTCACTCCTCCTTCACAAAATGTTGGGGGGAAAAAAACGCATGAGCTTGTCTTGTGCCGTGAAAGCCAGCAAGCTTGAGCTTACTTTAAATACAAGGAAGATATTTTCAGGAGTCCGGCTCTTTCACAGGGATTACTCTTTCAGTGTCTTGTTCTCTGTCAGATGGCAAAATGTCCAATAAAGTCTTTGAGCTTCATGTGATGTCATTTGGGTGAAACTTAATGGTCTGTGATATACAAGGGGTCAGACCAGAGGATGTAGTTGGGAGAAGGGCAATTTGAAAGTAGTCAGAGCTTGACAAGTTTATCTTGCATCCCATATATATATATGGTAAAATGGAAAATACACTGGAAAATACAGCACAACACGCTGAACTTGTCATGAACCCACTGAACTTCCCTTTCTTTTGTTCCTCAGAAGAAAATAGTGTAGGATAGCTCTCTCTTTAAACAAAACCAAATACACTTACTGTTTAAATAAATATATTTCTGCTTTCTGATGTATATCTAAAATAATTTTGGTCTTTGTTTTCAGGGTCTTTTTAGTAAGACTTTCACAAAATTGTTGAGGGAGCTAGTGTTGAAAGATCAGTTGTGAAACACTATTTATTTTTACTGACCCTGGCAGGGCCTTTAAATTTCAGTTTCTGTGCCCTCTAAGGAATATTGCTTGAGATGAGGGAGTGCAACATTTTATATGCAGCTCAGAAAGGAGGTTAAAAGCTGAGAGGGAAACTTAGTTGTTTCTTTAAATTTTTAAAAATTTGATTGATTTATAATAAGTAGTTAATTCAAACAAGTCAACAACATATGTGGGGTTTTGCTACAGCTCTAGTCCCAAAGTAGACAAACAGCTTTGGAACTTCTGATTTTTTAACAGTGAGCTTTTTACAGCTGTGATGCATTTTGCTTTGGGGGCTAGGTCTCATCTGCTCCAAATAAGGAAGCTGAGATGTTTTCAGAGTCATTTATCTGACTTCTATTTTTTCTTTTTCTTCCCTTTTCTTCTTCTCGTTGTCCTCTCTCCTGCACAAAAGGACTCTGTGTGACGCCTGCCCTGGCTGCAGCCAGTTCTTCCACCCCGTGTCTTAGTGAAACCATCTACTGTGGGCAGGCACTTGCACTACCAGTGCTTTATGTGCTGAGGCCCAGGTTTATACTTCTTTGCCTTTGTCAGACCCTTAAGATTAAAAAGCAACGTGATTAGAAAAATCAGAAAGCAAATCAACTGTAAATTAAAGTTTCACACACAAATGAGATTTACCTTTCTGACTGCTTTATGAGAGAATCTCCAAAGTAGATTATTGATATAGTCCTCAGTAATTTAAGTGATTATGTGGATTACAGGTTAAATTTAAAAAGAGGACATTTGGTGCTTCTGAGTCCAGAAGATATTCTGGAGATTAGAATATTCTGAATATATATTCAGAATATGTTCTGAAGATACAGTTAGTCTAGTTTATTCATGCACTTTTGTTTTTGAATGTGTTGCGCTGAGTTGTTTGTGACTTTCACAACTTTTCATGTCACTTTATTGTGTCTGATGTCTTAATCTGCAGGAGTTTGTTTTGGCCTTGTGGTGGCTGTATTTGGTTTAATAATGATAGTGTCGTCACATCTAATGTGACCAGTTCTGGTCTTGAAGTACTTCTGCACTTGAGTCCTATTTCATCAGCTTTTTTATATTGTTGGTGGGGTTTTTCTCGATGTAAAGATCCACCTGCAGATTGTGGAGCTTAGTATTATTGCAGATGTTACAACTTTTGACATTTAAATATTTTATTGTAGAAAAGCAGTGCATTTTTTATGCTGAAAATCACTGTCCTTCGGGGTTCCCAGATCACTGGGCCACAGGGTGGATTTATTGTCTGCAAAAGTTCTTTTTTAAATCTAGATTGATTGTATTGTAAAAGCTGGAATGAAACTACTTTTCTGAAGGTTTATGAAAGTTTTCCTGTCTCTTAAGAATGTTCAAAGATTAGTTAAGACATCATGTAGTGTGCTGCTAAGTACATGTAGTTTTTTATGACAATTTGCTGTCCAGAGCAGCAGCACTTCACATAGACATCGCTCAAAGTGCCATGAACTGTTTCTGTACTAAACCTGAGTCTTGTTATGTGAAATTTTATTCTTGAGATCTTGGTTCATTGGAAACTAAGATGATCATGATGCAAATATTCTCTGCTTAGCATTACTTTTTTGGTCACTGTTTCCTTTCTCTCTTCCTTCTCCATTGTTTTGCATCTGGGAGAGATGTGAATATTTCTTTTTGCTGTGCTGTAGCAACCTGTTTAGCTACAGAAACAGAGAGGGAACCTACTAGTTTTTACTGATTTACTTCTGTAGTTTTCCTTTGACCAGTGGTTGTGATGAGATGGAACTGATTATGTAGATAGGCCTCTGCTAGAACCTTAGGTCTGAAAAACAAGTTTATAAGATGAGTTGTATAAAAAAATGCCTGGGAAAGGAGAGTTCTGTGTGAAGCTTTTAATGCGATTCAAACCACTGGTCTTTTTGAGAGCCTGGGGACTGTCCTGCCTCCCACTGTAATGAGTCAGCTACAGGCTTTGCAATGCTATCTAGCCACATTCATGATATGGTTAGAATTAGTATGCTCTGGGAAAGTTCTGACTCAGTCCCTCTACCAAACATCCTTTTTTGCTAATCTAGAGAAATCTACTTGGGATTAATTCCTTTTATCTAGCCCAGGTGTCTCATTGATTTCAGAAGTCAGAAGCTATGCCTTTTCTGCCAGCAGGCTCAACCCAAGCCAGTGACAAACATTTTCTTTGGATTTCAAACTTTTATTTTAAAAATAAACACAGAGCAGAGTATTAACATAGTTTGTTCCATTGTGAGATATCCATTTATTAGGGAAGTATCACATAAGCTCTTACTGTCTTTATTTTGGTTTTTTTTACTGTCTTGTGTTATTATGAGGCAACTAAGTAGACTTCAAGTTTTAATAGTATCAGAAGTGTTTTAGTAGGTGATTTTAATTTTCTAGACAAATAACTATTTCCAGGAAGGCCTGACGATCTAATGGCCTGTATGGAAGACACTTCTTAGAATTAGTCTTCTAACAAAGTTTCCACTTCTGAACTTCTCTTTATCAACATGTTTTATTGGTTATTTCAAAAATTGGTAATTGCTTTTACTCAGAAGTGCCATTTCAGGTTGTTGAATTCATCAGCCAAGGAATTTTTCGTTTTTCTTCCAGCTTCTGTGTAGTTAATTATATTAACAATGGTATTTTGTGTTTTATTTGTATAGTTTTGTCTTCAGGAGCTAAGGCGACAGTTTCCTGGGAGCCACAGAGTAAAACGATTAACTGGAATGAGATTTGAAGCTATGGAAAGGTAAAACCTGAATTTAAAAAAATGTACTTTCCATCTGGAAAGGTGCTTGCTATGTCTTAAAAAAGCATTCAGGCATGATAAGAACATGGCAAAGCAATGCTTGGCAGCTTCTTTATAGGAAATATTGCTATGTATAATCATACTATAATGTTTAGACATTTTTATTGCATTTTTGCAAGTACTGTGAAGTGTTGCATTTACAATCTTTCCATCAGACTTCATAGATTAAAAAGATCTCTTATAGGACAGTATAAATCATTATACACTAAAACACTAGGCACTTTTTTGGTGAAGTCTGTGAGGTACACTTTTCATCTCACAGAGCTAGAGCAGCATATGAAAATCAGTGCTATCAGTTTTTTGCCTTTATTGTTCTCCTAGGCTCCTAACTACTGCAAGATGGATTTTTTTTTTTTTTTCCTTCTCCCTTGTTTTCTGAATGTGGATAAACGTAGTAGAACTTAATAAGGATTAAATCTGTAGAGTTTGTTATAGAAACAACTCAGAACCGTAAAAATCAGACTTTTGTGAAATATCCTGTAGAACGGTTATAACATACTAAGATTCACAGGAATATTAAAATAATGAACAGCTTAAAACTTTATAGCTTTCCAAGATGACTGACCTCAGGGCTTGATGTTGACCTTTTTCTCCACCTTTGTCCTTTGGATATATTCTTGGTATCAACATTCTGTTCTATCATGCCATGTTTTCCATACAGCATTGGTGAAATTTGGAGCCTTTGGGCCGTCTTGATACAAAGGAATTAGAACTCAGAAGTGAACCCTAAATGCTTTTTCGTACACTTTATTTAGTTAGCAGATGTTCTTTACCCATTACATTCTTGCAAAATTAACTTTGAAAATGTTATTTGATATGAGCCACCAATGAACATCAGTTGCTTGGATCCAAAAGAGTGGATAACTGGGCTGACTCCACAACCACAGGAGCAGTCTCAGGGCAGTTAGATGTGCCACGTTTCACACTCGCTTTATATCAGATACACGTTCATGAAGAATTTCCATTAAACCTAGCTCTCTTTCTGTCTTCACTTGATATAGGTAGGAAGACAGTGAGAGAATGACAGCAGATTTTCTCCCCTTCCTGAAACCTATTCAGAACTGCAAAGGATCATAATTCTATTCAGGCGTATGCGAGTACCTTGAAGATGTTACTGCATGGGAACAGATCTTTGTGGGAGATGACTGCTGCACAAATGTTATGTGTTGTTTCAGCAATGAAGTGAGATTGAGCCACAGTTTTGTGGAAAGTGCTTGTAAAAATTATTGACAAAATGTCTCTGTCAGGTTAGATCCTTGAGATTGGGGTAACAGAGGAGAGAGGCATTAACAAAAGCTGACATTTCATCTTCATAGATCTTCTCGAGAGGTCAGAGAAGAAAAACAGGCTTCAGCTCTGGGTTTTTTTGAATAGGAACCCACCTGCAGATGCTGTAAGCCATGCTCTGGAGAGCCCAAGGAGACTTAGGCTGAAGTGATCCCATGTTCACTGGAAGTGAGCTTCTTGTTAAATTTGGAGTGATTTCCAGGAGTTGATGAGATCCTGCCTTCCCCAGCAGGAAGAGGAAACAGTGAGGAACATCCCTGTGCACTGAGACATCCCCTGTAGACATTGGCTAATCAAAAGAATTCTGGAACTTCATCCTGTAAAGCTGGGATTGTGGCCATCATGTTCAGCCTTGTAAAATACATTGGATAAAGTAGCAACTAACAGGGAACATGAATACAGCATTTTATAGCACATCTGCTCAAGTCTGTAGCAGTCACCTTGTACTCATTTCTGCTTTTTTGCTACCTTTTGAATTTGGTCTCGTACCTGATGGTACTTGGAGTGGACAACTGAGCTGTGCACATCGCAGCCGTGCTTAGGGAGCAGTGAGAGGACCTAAATGGGTGTCTAAGCCGAGAAGGGGATGTGTAGCATCAAAACAAATCAACAGTAGCTCTGAAAAACTACTTGTCAAACTGTACATGAAGACACAAAGTGTTCCCTAGTTATGTGGTGATAGCACAACAGCTGTATAATCAAATGTATTTCAAGTTGACTTACTTCATTTGTCCAGCTTTGGGTTCTCTACACAGCTGGCTGAACACAGAGTTCTGCTTCCCAGAACGTATAAAGCATTTATAGCAGCTAGAGTAACCTGTTTCAAGCATACTTCAAATACCAGAATTAATTAATATAACCTATGTAGTAAAGGCAGAAACATTTTCTTTCAAAATTTATGGATGTAGTCTATGGGTAGAGTCCTGTGTGAATCCCTCCACTTTACTGTATGTGGCTGCTTGTATTTTATAAGATCATAACAGAAGACCCTTGCATGAAGTTTTAAATAAAAATAATGAAGTGAAAAGTTTGCAAAGACAGTCAAAAAGTCAGGAGTTCTGTCTTAGCAGAAATAAACATGAATGATTTCTTTGAACAGGTATGATGATGCCATCCAGTTATATGATAGAATTTTACAAGAAGATTCAACTAACACTGTAAGTGTAAAAGATTCTTCTGAACTGCAGTGGTTTGTTATTTGAAATTGTGGTAACGTGTTGGGGGTGTCAATGTCGAAAAACATGTGTCTGTATTCCTGTATTTGGTTCCTTAAGTTTTCTAGTATAATAACCTTCATTAGAACAAATGAGATTTGTTTCATGATGAGAAGGCGTGATGCAATACCTGCTTAAACACTGAATTTAGAAGACTAGCAACTTTTCCAGCAGTCTTAGTAGGGTTTAGATTGAGCTTTTCAGCTTTTCCATTTACCCTGAATATTCAGTGTTTAAAGAACCAGTCTGGTCTGCCATGTGTCTTCTGTCTTCCTAATGCTTCAAGTAAGATCTTGAAGTATGAATACACTCAGGTAGTGCTTGAATAACAGTTATTTTGATTTATTGTCTGGGACACTTTACTAACTTTTGAATCAAAATGCTATAAAGCTTTCCAATCGTATAAAACAAAATCTGAGACAGGCGATACTTTTGTTTTAAGCATTTTTCAAATATTTGTGTAAGCCACCTTGAGCTATTAGATGCCAAAATGAAAGTCTAGGGAAAATGTGTAGAATATATTTTAATGCATTATTTTCCACAAAGATAAAACTAGAAATAGGAAGAAACAATGGAGTTTCAAACTTTTATATCATATGTTGCAAAGTCAGTAAATTACTATTAATCATTGTCTGGCATGGTATATGGAGGGTGTATGTTTGCCTGCCTTAGGTTTTGAGGAACTGGTTCTCTTTACTGGGTAAACTTCTGTGTAAATGTAATACTTGGGCTATTGCAGATATTTTGGCAGTCTCATGTAAACCTTCCTTGGTGCATTTGGAACCTCTGCCTTTCTTCGGTCAAGTTATCTGATGTGGTCTGCTATTTAGGAGAGGGGAAAAAACACAGGTAACTGGGGGTAACCAGGGTATGCCAGAGCAGGATATAGATAAAGTGCCATCATTTAAACTATGTAAATCATAAAAAGAATCCTCCAAAACAAATTTTTAAAAAACCCAACAACAGAAAAACCCCCAAAGCCACCAAAGCAGAAAATTATTTTTGAGGCAACGCATCTGAAAATGTTAATACTGAGTTCAGCACTCAGACAACAGTGGTAGGTTAAAGTCTGTGTCTTCTAGGAGTGATAGAACTCATATTTTTTATGCAAGGGTAAGAAGAACTATTTCAGTTCTTCACTCTTGTTTTTTACTTTCCCTAGAGCACTGCTGCTTTAACTGTGTTCTGTGAGACAAGGTGGGGGATCTGCAGTTGCCCTTTGCAATCTGTAGTGGTTTTGAGTAGAAGTCTGAGCACAGTGTGCGTAGCTGTCTGCAGTGAATGTAGATGGGTTTTATCAGTGTATGGCCCAAAGAGTTTCGGAGACACTAAGTCTTCAGAGTCATCTTAAAACAAGATGGAACCCGTCTACAGTGAAGCCAGAAGAAGAGATCATTGAGGTGCACATTTTATGACCTTTTGCTGAAGCCAGTGGAAAATGGAGCACCATGTTACAATGACCTTTGTGGACCACAGATCTTTGAAGTGTGCATTTTTGGCAGTTCTGCTTTTCAGCTGTCTCAATATGGTTAACGTCATCTGAGTGGTTTGTTTGATCGTTTTATAAAACAAAATGATATATTTAAATAAGTAATACGCATGACTATTACCTAATTTGTATTTTCTCCTTAACAAAATCATAAAGATCCATAAAATGGTAATATTTAGAAGCATAAGATGTAAATATTAGAACAGCTGCATGATCTATTGGATTTCCTAAGATCTGAGAACAGCAGTGGAGTGTTAAATGCAAAGCAAAGGTTTGCTTCTATATGACTATAGAATAGGTTGGCTAAGCCTTGCATGTGAAGAGTGAAAGTTAAATAGAAAGTTTTGATAAATCGTCATGTGCAGATTTCTTTGTGTCTTTTACCTGTTAATTATTTCCATGCACGCATGTGGCTGCTGTAGGAAAATAAATATTTCAAGATTTTAAAAAAGAAACTGTTGCTGAGTTTATCTTGGCACTCACCTTACCTTATAGCGATTTCTTCTGGTCTGCTGACACATGGAGTTGCTTATATACATTCAGTGTTTTGGCAACGTGCTGTAAGTGAAACATAGACATTTGTTCACACGAATCATGTAAAATCATACTTTGCATTGACTGACAGTTTCAAATAGAAGCATGGAAAAAGCTTTTTCAAAAAAATTATTTATGTTAGACAGCTAGCAGACTTTTCCATTATGAAAAGTGAACTCTAAACTCACATTATGTAATGGACATTTGTACTTTCGGATGAGGTTTTGTTGCACACAAAGCTCTGAAATTAAGATAACAGTAATTATTTTATATCATTTCTTATGGTAGAATCCAAAGTAGTCTCTGTTTTTAAAAGATGATCACCTCAATGTCTTATCACGCCCTGAGCTTACTTGCTGAAAAAGATGACATTTGACAGTGGAGCAATGTTAATGTTGGCACTTAGAGATTGTGTTTCATCTTTCAAAGCATGTAGGCTTTGAGTAAGAGTCTGTCCCTCCTCTAAAGAGTTTAACATTAATGAATGAAATGTGACTCCTGTGGAAAGCACAACTTGTGTTCATTTTAATGGGATAAGAATGGGAACCTTTTCCATTCTTGTCCATTTTGGTTGAAATGAAAGCTTATTAGAGCTGTAGCTGGCAGATGACTCTGTTATTAGGGCTGCATAACATTTTCCATTTTGGGCCTTTGTAATTAATTAAAATTTAATGTAGTATCCAATTGAAAATCTTTATGCTTGCCCTGAAACAGTGGCTGAGTTGTTTGCGGATCTTCAGATAAAATGCTTAGTCTGTTTCTCAGAGCAAAATAAGAGGGTCATTGTGTTTTTAGCAGGGTTGGTAGAAAAGACTTTTTAGTTTGTTTTTGCTGTTAATGTATTTAATTGAGAAATTCTCATCCTGCCCTGCTTTGGAGGGAAGCATTGAATACCAACAGGACAAGAGCTCTTCGTAGAATGCAGCTTTTATTATACTACCAGAAAAACACCCAAACTGACTAAGCTACAGGCATTTGAAAATCTTCATGTTCTCAGTAGACTCTGCTGGAATTTTTATTAAATACATCTTCTTAAAATCCCATTTGAATTGAGCGTGATCTATCCCAGGCTACAGAGATTAAGCAGGGCTTCCTTGCAGTTGCTCCTCATGGGTGTAGGGCTGTTGGAAAGGGGCAGAAAGTAGGAAGACTCCTCTCCTTTCTGAGTTGCATCCAAGTGATGAGCAGGAGAAGGACAAAAACATCCAGAAGGAACTGAGTAAAAAGAGAGGGAAGCAGCATTGTGAGGACCAAAAGAGAGAGGGACAGGTAATGAAAGGTTAGGTGGTTAGTTGTAACTGGAGAGGTCAGGTCAGATGTAGGGGAACAGATGACTTGAAGGGTGGGTAGGAGATCAGAACAGAGGGATTTGCATTAACATTTAAGTCTTGGGCACTTCCCCCCACTCCCTCAAAAAAAAGGAAATAATTTAAAAAATCACATTTTGCCTTGAGGCACTGTATTTTCTGCTGTCACTAAATAGCTTTGAGACCTACTGGTGAAATGTCTCTTATTCCCTGTAGTACCTGGTGTGTATTAGTTCTGTCAGTAACTGTTTTAGCTCTACTAGTGAAGGCACGTACCATTGGAATGCTGCGAGTAACCAAACTTGTGGTTCTGCAAGATGGAATTTCTGTTCTTTCACTAAAGAAAACCCAGGAACATTTCATATCTTCTGGCGAGAAGTCTGAATGCTCAACCGTGCTACTTAAAAGATGCCAGAATCTGCACACCCTTAAAATGACTGATAGTCTTTTGAAGTAGGTAGTTACTGTTTAGCGATATCCTTTGTAAATTCATATAATACAGTGGCTAAACTTGGATATCATTTTGTAATATGAAATGTAATGCTGCATTCAAACTCTAGGTATTTTTAAATTTTAAGTTGATCACAGTGTTCTCAGTGTCTTCATTAATGGTCTGGATACTACATTGAGGTGTATGTTTTGGATTGATTGATTGTGTAGAATTCAGTAGGAAATTTGCATGGAATTGATTTATCTGTATTTTCTATTTGATACCTAAGTCCTCATTTCTGGGAATGGGGATCCCATGTAAGAACCTTATAAATGGAAGTAGTATCTTGAATGGTATTTGTCCCTCAGCAGCCATGTGAGATGAAATAGTACTGATATTTTACACGTGGAGAGCAGGTGAAAGTCCAGCTCTGCAAAATTATTTAGGACTCAATTCCTAAGGAGGCTCTCTGATTCGCTTTGATTTCAATTATGGAATGAATATTAAATGAGGAATTTTTAAACTTCTGTATGTGTCTGTACCAGATTAAGTTGAATGTCTTTTTGCATTTTTTCACCTTGGCAAAGTTTCTGCTTGTGGGGAGCAATTTAAATGTAGACCCATCTGTTTTAATTAGATAGCTAAATATTTTTGTTAGTTGGGACCTACTTGTGATGGCCTGGCCAGGAGCGCAGAGAAGATTGACAGTGAGAAAGGAAATTGAGTTCATGTTTCAACCAACACAGGTTGGTGTCTAACTCACTCCACTGGCATCCTTGTGCACCTGCAGCTTTTCCTCATTCTTCAACTCAGCTATCAAGAAGGTTGCAGAGCACTTGGTCAGCACCAGGGGAAAGTGAGATAAGGTACAAGGTTCTGCCTTAATTCTAATCCACAGAAAATCTGATGTCTTTATTGGGATAATTCTTTCGCTGTTTTTCTTGCCACTTTTCAACTAAGCTTCTAATAAAACAAGACACTGTATATGCTTGCTTAGCTTAGGGCATGTGGATAATCTCATTAACTTCATGAGTCTAATATAATTGTGTGAACTGAGAATTAAACATAGAATTTTCAGAACAAGATTGTGTTCTGGGTGAAGGTGTTGTCTTTCAGGGTTTGTGAAATACTTCCCTGACAACTCTGTTGGTTATGGGAGTGGGCAGGAACAATGTATGGTCAA